AGGGGATGTTCAACCAACTGGATGTACAATTTCTCACTAGATCACAAGAAACTAGAGGCAAATGCTGACCAGGCCTAGGAGGAGAGGCCTGAAGTCCTGAGGATGTGGGTTCAAGGGCACTGTTTAGGGTTAGAGCAGTATAAATCTACAGAATATGGGATATGGTGGGAGGAAACTCCTGACTGACCCAGTGGGCTAAAAAGAACTTGGGGAATTTTATTTCTTTACAGTCATCTACTCCAAAGGGTTGTTGTGAAAATCACATAATAGTACTTGACACTTAGTTGGAATTCAATGAAAGGTAGCCACGATTAATGATGCTAAAAGGGTTCACTGAAGACATCCTTCTGTATCTCGCTCTTTCATCTTGCTTTAATCCTTGTGAAATAGTGGAGTGGATATCATAAAGGAAGGTGAACTACTAAACACAATTGTAGGGTAGACAGAATAATACTTATCAATTACCAAAAATTCTTTATACTTACTAGAAACAATATAATTTTATAACACTTGGTCATTGCTAGACTACATCAATCATAATGATTACTTTTCCCAAAGCAGTTGGTCTTCATGAAGACAGAGGTACCTAAGAAGTTAGGAAACAGTAACTGGTTGCAGATGGGGTTTCCTAAGAAAAAGTTAATAGGATGGTACATAAAAGGCTTGGGAAAGATGTTTAGCTAGGAGCCTACCACCAGCTAAAAAGCATCATCTACCTGGCAGGTGAAGATGGCATGAAAGGAAAGACATACAACTATTAAAAGATTGAAAAGACTGGGCTTCCCTGATGGTGCAGTGGTTGAGAGTCCGCCTGCCGATGCAGGGGACACGGGTTCGTGCCCTGGTTCGGGAAGATCCCACATGCCGCGGAGCGACTGGGCCCGTGAGCCATGGCCACTGAGCCTGCGCGTCCAGAGCCTGTGCTCCGCAACGGGAGAGGCCACAACAGTGAGAAGCCTGCGTACCGCAAAAAAAAAAAAAAAAAAGATTGAAAAGACTTTAATTTTCTTTTCTTTGTTTTTAAATGAATTAATTTATTTGTTTATCTTTGGCTGCGCTGGGTCTCTGTCGCTGCGTGCAGGCTTTTTCTAGCTGCAGCAAGTGGGGGCTACTCTTCATTGCTGTGTGCAGGCTTCTCATTGTGGTGGCTTCTCTGTTGCAGAGCACCAGCTCTAGGCGCGTGGGCTTCAGTAGTTGTGGCACTCAGGCTCAGTAGTTGTGGCTCATGGGCTCTAGAGTGCAGGCTCTGAAGTTGTGGTGCACAGGCTTAGTTGCTCCGTGGCATGTTGGATCTCCCCAGACCAGGGCTTGAACCCATGTCCCCTTCATTGGCAGGTGGATTCTTAACCACTGACCATGAGGGAAATCCCAACTTTAATTTTTAAAATTATATTAGTCTATATTTTTAATGGTGGACTAAGCTACTACATGAAAGACATTCACTGGAAAACTCTATCCAATGATTTACCATGATATTTCCAATCCTTACCCCAATTCAACACTCAGACTCCCTATTAGATGAAAGAATAGCAAGACTGTCAAAGGGAACACAGAACGTGATGATAAGAAAACAATGAAATTCAGAGAATACAATGCGAATGAGAAGAAAAGGCAAGTAATCATCAACAAGCTGTTTTCATTAGGTTCTATAGATCCACACTGAATATTTTCTGCCTTTTTCTCCTTTCCTTCCATTTGGTCTGTTGATAGGTTTATTTCTGACAGGATCTAGTCAGAATTTATTTCTGACAGGATCTAAGTATTTCAAAAGAAATAACGTTGAAAATTTGGTCAACAGTTGTTGGAGAACCAAAAGAGCTAGGAGAGAACGTGGTGCCCAGAGATAAAAATAACTGCAGGAAGCACTATGCCCCAAGGCTGGAGGATCAAAGGGAGGGGGCAGGGTTCTCAGAGTCTAGAAGCCTAGAGAGGCCTCACAGAGCTGGGGTTCAGCCACTGCCAGTGCTTCTGAGCGCACATTGAGGCAGGTTCTCAAAGTGACAGGAGAAAAAAGCTGGAGCCTGGAACCAAGAGCCACTGTCAGGTCAAGAGCCACTGCTGCGGTGGGGCTGCCCGAAACGGGAAGGAACTTGAAACAGCAAGCCCCTCTCCTCCTTCAGCCCTGCAGCCTCCCTGTCCAGCTCCCCAGAGAGGCAGAGCCTAATGGCAGAGTCCTGGTGGCATAAAGCAGCATAGGTGAGGGTTGGTGTGGGGCTGAGAGACAAAAGCTGGACCATGCACACATTACACATTTAGAAAGAGCAATTCATCCCATGTTTAGGTCTCTGTCGCTCATCTTAACTCACAACAAACTAATTAGCCGCAAAATACTGCAAATTGGGCAAAAGAAGTGACAGAGTAATCCAACGTCAGGCTGAGTTCAACCAGAGCCATGCTTCACCAGCACCTTTCCTTGTACCTTAGAGGAGCACTCTAAGGGATTGCTGTTAGCGGCCTAACTGTTCTTACCTATGAAAAATGGGCTCCTTCGAAGCCATGTGCGGGCCTGCTTAAAACAATAAGCTTTTCGAACCCCCAAGTGCGACATACTCCGGGAGCGTGGTCTGGATGCTTATCAAACAAGTTCCTGGGCCATTCTCTGAAGTTTCTGGGCAAGTACAAACAAAAGAGTCAAATAAAATGCCTTTTAAAAGCAAGGCAGTGGAGCACGTACCCTGTCAGTGAGATCCTCATATCCCCACAGAGTAAACAGTAACATGAGAATATTTATACTAAACAAAACTGTATATCAAGCCTGCTTTGGCTCAGCCAGAGGGAATGATAAATTCCTTGCAGATCTCTCATAGAGTGGTCCTTTGTGGTCCATGGACGCCACTTCCAAGACGGTACAAACCAATTACAGAGCAAGGCTTTTCATTATGTTGAGGAATGAAAATATCACCCCCCATTTTGTTTTATTTTACAGTTATATTTTACTTAGCCCTCCCCCTTATGTTAAAGATGTTTTAACTTGTGGAGTCAAGCCCAAGTTCAGGTTGGAAGCAAATGACAGCCCCTCCCCACCAACAACAAAAGCCCTTATCACCTCACAGCCTAGCTTTTTGCTTTCCTTGTCCCACTTCTAAGAAACTAAAACTTGAATTTAAAGTGGGGTGGAGTAAAAAACACTAAAGAGTTAATAAAATGTAAAGTCTATTTGTCCACATCGATTTTGTCCCATTTACAATTGGCACAAGTCATGGGCAAAGTCATCTGGCAGGAGATGGAGGTTAAACAAGCTATGAAGCCACATTCCATACAATGTCCACTTTGAGGTCCAATGGAAAAAATACTGCAGAAACATTTGCACAAAGTGTTGGTCTGTTTCTAAGAGAGTAATATGAGAAAAGGTTAATATGAATCAGGGTATTTGTTAGTTTAGTCAGATTTTTCTCAACCCAATTTGATAATCCTTCTTATTGTTATAGATCCATCCTGGCTACTTCTGCCAGCTCATACATAGAGAGAGCTGATGATGCCACATCCGTCCAAAGGATAAACTTTCAGCAACTTACAGCTGTTTCAGATTTTCTAAAGAACCATGGTGGAGCAAGGGAGAAGGGGAAGAGAGAAAGACAATAGAAAAAAACAGCGATATTAGAATATGAACAAGTGGTAAGAAGTGAGGTTGCGCTGGTTTTGAAAGTTGTTTATAACAAAAATAGTAAATTATTGTCTTAAATAGACAGCTGGGCTTCCCTGGTGGCGCAGTGGTTGAGAGTCCACCTGTCGATGCAGGGGACACGGGTTTGTGCCCCGGTCTGGGAATATCCCACATGCCGCGGAGCGGCTGGGCCCGTGAGCCATGGCCGCTGAGCCTGCGCGTCCGGAGCCTGTGCTCCGCAACAGGAGAGGCCACAACAGTGAGAGGCCCGCGTACCGCAAAACAAAGCAAAACAAAACAAAAGACAGCTGGATCAAATGCCAAATTTAATCAACTCCATTTTAAACCATTAACTAAGCCTCACATGTAGTGCCCAAGTCCATCATAATAGATCAAAAAGGGAAAAACAGATCTTATATGTTTGTACACTTTAATGGATATTAGAAATTTGACAAAATTTTATTTAGAAAGTGTGGGCTTAGTGAAATTGTCTTATTCACATGTTTGTTTTTTGTGTTTTTTTAAATTTTTATGAAATTAATATATAATTTTTAATAATTGTGGTAAAATATACATAAAATTTACCATTTTAACCATTTTTAAGTGTGTAGTTCAGTGGCATTAAGTATTCATATTATTGTACAACCATCACCACTATCCATCTCCAGAATTATTTTTTCATCTTCAAAAACTGAAACTCCATACACCCATTAAATAGATGTTTGGTTATAAACAGGCCTTGCTCAAAACTGGCAGTCTAGAATGCAGTGATGCGAATCTGGAGAGGTTAATCCAGGCAAGTGGCAAATGAATCAACTCCTACTACAACCCCTAATGACTCAGTGACAACCTGTGCTTTTACCCTCTCATGTGTTTAATATTGATGACCAAAACTGAAGCAAAGCTCTAGAAGAGATCTGGAAAAAGTGTTAATATATTTCATTTTTACATTACAGCTTACAAAGTACTTCCATTTATCCCCTAGAACACAATCTGAGTGGGAACTCTTTTCCCTGTTTTATAGGCAATGAAACTATGCCTACGGGGAAGGTAAGGGCAAGGACCAGAACCCAAGCCAGAATCCACTGTCCATCACTTATCCTACTAGGCCACATGGCCTCTGACAAAGCAAGAGAAAAAAGAGGCATGACAACTTCTCAGCTCTCCCGGACTCACTGGGTCTAACTGGAGAGCATTTGCTCTCTTCATCACAGCAACTAAACTTCCTTACGCCTGAAAACCACACCTGGTTCATCATTTCTCCATCTTTGCTGTACTTATATTAAACAGCAAAAAGAAAACACCCCCAAAAAGCACAATTCTGAAACACAATTAATGCAATCACAGTCAAGAGTCAAATGTAAGTCAAAAAAATATACTAGGATAGATTACTGGATCCTATAAAAAGACTGAGTTCAACCTCTTTTTTATTTTTAATTACTTAAAATAAACTCACATTATGTGCTCTTATTAGACAAGACCATAATCTTTCTTGCTAAACAAAACCTATGGAAAAATTCATTTCTTTGTGCTTTATGAACAGAAAGCATCTTGTACCAAAGAATTATAAGCACTAAGGATTTACATAAAATTGCCAGAATCAGCAAGTGGTGGCTTCTTTCAGTTCACAGAGAGGCAACCTATTTTGATTTCTTTCAAATAACATTTTTCCACCAAAACCCTTCTCTTTGCTCAAGAGCAATAAATTCCCTAAACCTTCAGACTTCCCATTTAAATTCCAAAAAGAATAAATACAATCCCTTGAAGTCATGCCCAACACCATCATTCCACTTCTCCACATAAACATAAAAAAATTAGACAAATCTGGCTCCAGAATGAACAGTGGGTCATCCCAAACAAGGCAGGAAAGAACAATCATGCTTCGAAAGAGTAATTTTATTTTATAATTCTCCCCATTTTTTAGTTACTTAGTACTTGATTTTTAAAAGTGCACATTAAAAAAATGATTACTTAAAAAATGAGAGTTGAATACAGGACTCTGGAATAAAGAGGTCAGGAAAACCAAATAAATTGAGTCCGTTTTTAGTTTTGTTCATGATAATTAAAGACGATTTGGCAACGATGGCCATTTTACCCAGCTGATTCAGGAGGGCTTCTAGTACATGCAAGTGCATGAACTTGATACAGAGGAGGATTTCACGAAGTTTTAATGACGACTAGAAATATCATAAGGCGATTATGGACAATCTTTCAACACCTGTTGTTGTCACTGGACAGAGAATGCTTCCAGTTTTCCAATTCACAGCTGGAACCAAGCTCTTGGATCTTCCACTCGTCTTCACTGGCCAAAAGAAAACTTTGTAAGGGCTGATATTTTTTCCTTACAATTTCAATGAAGCCTTAGATTGGATCACATGAAAATGCCTCTGCGTATCTTCCAGAACTCCCCAATACCTTCCTTAATAGCATATTCAGCACAGTTCTTGCACTCTTGGGGTGTAAATCCAATTAATGCTCTTCCTTTAATGCCAATTCCCTGATCACTTGCCAATTTTTTAACTTGAGCTTCTATGTAATGAGGAGATACATAATAAAAATGGTCCCCAAGGACACTGTAAGCCATGTATTGAGAGCCTTCTGAGGTTTCTGTAACTTCTTGATCTTCAAAACTCTCTACATTGCAAGCTATCTCAATTTTCCCTTCGTGAGGAAAAGCCATCGTTTGGACGCCCCTCAATCCATTCACATTTGAGCCCCGAATGGCACTAGCGATCTCTTTTCCCAGAGCCAAGTCTTGAGAATCTATGGTAACATTGCAGTTCATCACATATGGGCTAGCGCCGATGCCTAAATCATTAGAAAAGCATGTTAATCAAGCAAAGTGAAAGCCTCATTTTGAAGATTCTATTCTTTACCCAATTTTAATCCAAGGAGTTTCCTTTACTTGGTTTTACTTTTAAAATAATACACAAATATTCCTCATTATCAACTCCAGAATTGTCTAAAGGTCATACATATTTTTAATAACAGAGTTATTTGAGCTATAAGCAGATACTTTTATCTACTCTAAATGTATCTGGATGTTTTTTCTAGAATGGTTAAGAAAAGCCCAGACTTTCTAAAGTATCAACAGGTATTTCAAAAGGCACATTTGAAAATTAAATATCAACAGCAGCAAAATGTCTTGGCCTTCCATTCATTTCGAAGGCCATCTCCACAGGGGCTGGAATTCAGTGCCAGGACTACGGGTCTGGGAGACAGGAATAAATCACACTCTGTACCCATCCCTTCCACCCCAAACACAGACCCATCATCACTGAGCTAGGTTAAGATCGGATTCAAATGAACCTCAGCAACAGTCTTGGCTAGGAAAGGAGGTCACTAAAAAGTGACAAACAGTCTTGGAATTGGGAAGGACAAAGGGACTCTTGTGTCTCATGACCATGTGGGTTTGGCAGGGCAGGGTTTGGGGCACTATGTATACCTTCTTGGTATAACCAGTTGGAGGCATCTCTTTCTTCCATCCCCAGCTTCCCAAGGGACTGGGACTGCCATTGCTACTCCAGAGCCTGGTTACTCTAGAGCCCAGGGGCAACTGTCCTGCTTTTCCCTGCCTTGGGGAAGATGCAGCTCATGTTACATAAATAGCCCTGCTCTAATTATAGTTTACATTATAAGATGGACAACTTGGTTAAATTAGCATTGGTATAAAAAGCTTAGGTTTGCAGTTTCTTCATTTTGGGGGAACTTTACATTTCTAAATGCAAAGTGACTAGGGATTGATGAGGGATAAAAGGCTGACCTCACCTTCAGCATAAGACAATTCTTTAGTTACTATTCCAACATTATTTTACTGTCAATGCTTTTTCTTGCTACTTTCAAACTTATTGCTCATGGTGTCAGTATCCAGTGAGAGATCCTGCTGAATTCACTTTCCCCTAGACAGTCGTGGTTTGGGGGCTTTGCTGCCTAGCCTGGGTACTCTCATACTAATAGACGCTTTACAGAAAATCAGCACACGGAAACCACATTTCATCTTTTTCCCACACATGTACATAATGAAACATTTCAACTCCCGAGGCTGGGCCTCTTCCTACTGGGAATTCTGCAGGAATGAATCAGATTACAGTATTTCTCCATAATGCTTATTTCATAAAAATTAAATTTCCTAACAGTCAATACATATCTCTCTCAACCTCATATACCAATCACTTACTCTAAATATCTTTGAGAATTGTATCAGTTTTAACAGTTCACAGAGTACAACTGGAAATTTTTCTTGTCAATGCTAATGTCATTCATTAATGGAAAGCATCCAAGCATGGTTTCTCTCTCCTCTACCCCTCAACAGGTAATGTTACAAACAGCCCCATTTTTCTCATATCTGATATACATACCCTATTCTGACTCAAGAAGTGGCCTCATCTTTATCATTATTCAAACAAATAGCTAGATCACACTCAGATTTTGCTGAAAAGTATGTATACATATATTGGGTTATACTAAGTATTGATACTATTCAAAATACTTATTGGGCCTATTGTGCTTTGCTATACCAGAACTTTGATATGCCCAGTCAACATTCAGATATTCATATGTAAGTTATCAGCTTGGGGGAGCTAGTCACTTCCAAGGCAAGTTCGTTCATATGGACCCAGGGCTCTTCCTCCCCACAGTATGGTGGCATGGACCATTCCATCCCTAAAGACATGGGACTTTTTCTGAATCCCCCATCCAGCAGATTCCAAGGCACCTGTTACCACCATGTGCCCAATAACTGTACCTTCTGTCACAGAATTTCTAAAATTGATCATTCTTGCTAATAAATGAACTCATTACCTAAGATAAGTTATTAGATGTAGAATAAGCTTAGATGTTAAGTCCAGAGCACAAGAGTGCCATAAAGAATTCACTTGTCCCAACACTGATTCACTTAATTAAAATAAATCTCTACTTAAAAAATTCCTTCAAAAGCTAATTATTTCTTAGAAAAATAAAATTGAACATTAGAAGTAACTTTTATATTCTCTTCTAAATAAAATAAGAGTAATCACAAACAACACAGAATAATCATTTCTTTTGTGTATGCTCTTGTTATGTGTGTTTTAAATTCTTTTTTAAAATTTATTTATTTATTTTTGGCTGCATTGGGTCTTTGTTACTGTGCATGGGCTGTCTCTAGTTGTGTTGAGCAGGGGCTACTCTTCGTTGAGGTGCGCGGGCTTCAGTAGTTGTGGCACGCGGGCTCAATAGTTGTGGCTCGCGGGCTCTAGAGCACAGGCTCAGTAGTTGTGGTGCACGGTCTTAGTTGCTCCATGTCATGTGGGATCTTCCTGGACCAGGGATCGAACCCGTGTCCCCTGCATTGGCAGGCGGATTCTTAACCACTGCACCTCCAGGGAAGTCCCTTAAATACTTCTATTAAACTTTAATTATATAATAATTAATTTTGTTTTATCATTATATCTTATTCAAGCAGTGAATAAACAGAGACAGTCAATGAAGCTGAGAAGTTTCTGGCCTAATCAGGTAGTAGTACCCTTCCTGAGGGGTTGTGAGGTCATGACCCATTTCTTAGAAGGAAAGAAAGGAAGAAAGGAAGAAAGGGAGAAAGAAAGGGAAAAAGAAAAGAAAAGAAGAAGAGGGCTTCCCTGGTGGCGCAGTGGTTGAGAGTCCACCTGCCGATGCAGGGGACATGGGTTCGTGCCCCAGTCCTGGAAGATCCCACATACCGCGAAGCAGCTAGGCCCGTGAGCCATAGCTGCTGAGCCTGCGTGTCCGGAGCCTGTGCTCCGCAACGCGAGAGGCCACAACAGTGAGAGGCCCGCGTACCGCAAAAAAAAAAGAAAAGAAGAAGAGAAACTGCTTTCTGCCCAAATGCACGCATTTCTAATTCCTCCATTTAATCCTTCCCATGTCCAACACCAATATGGTGATCCAATTCTAATGAATCAAATTCTGCATTTAAATCCAGCAGTCCCAGTGACCTTATATGAAATGCTGAATTTGATTTTTTTATGCTAGTTTAAACTTAGTAAAGATTCTTTAAATAAGGGAGGTAATTAATCCCAGAAAATCGTAATTCTAGTTAAATGTCATATAATTAAAGAAATTCCATTTTTTGCTCTAAAATTAGAAACCTGATGTGAAAGTTTGTTTCTCAGTTTGCGGTCTCGCCCCGCTCCTGCCTCCCGCAGATTGGCACTCGGCTGCTCTGGCGGCAGCATGAATCTCCTCACTGCAAAGCTGAAATTCCAATTTTATTCCAACGCAACTGTCACAACGCCCTGAAGCAAGCTAAAAACAAGGAAAAAAATCTTTGGTATGATTTCACTTTCCATGTGTTCTTTAATGAAAAATTTATCATTCTAAATATTGGTGTTTACTCCTAGTTATATACTTTTTTTATCAAAAAGAAAAAGAAACTGAGATTCAGTTGCTATTATTTCACAGGGAAATATAACAGGCCTGATGTTTTCCTGACAATTCTGTTATTTTCTTGTGTGGAAACACTGTATTTATCATATACTGTACGGCTGGTGATTCAGATATTGTAGAGACCTTATGGTGAACTGATATAGATGTAAACTCTTTATGCCAGATTGTTTAAGCATAAAAAAAACAAATGCACTTAATTAACATCTGATGTGTAGCTTTTGCAAACACAAATGCAATATTTGTGTTTGAGCACTGGCAGTAATGACTGTGAACTATGCTATTAATGTCTGGTTTAAAGATGCTTGCGGTAGGACCATGTCTGGAATAACACAAATAAAAAACTGCATTCAGACAAAACAATAGTGAAGAGGCCATTAGAAAAATGAAAAAGCAGCACTCAAAAGAAACACATGTATTTTTTTCCCCCTTTAGATCAAAATTATTCTCAAAAATAGTTCCAGGTGCCATCATCTTCAATCAATTAATGGTGAAAAGATTCTATATATTTTCCTCCACAGAAAGGATTTCATTTTAGGGAGTCAGAAGTTGCTAAGGGATGTACTTAGAAGTTTTATTTATCATATTAAGTTCCTCTTTGGCGGCTTAGTTTTAAAAGATGCATGAGGAGAGAGCCGAGGTGGTGCTTTGGGATATTTGGCATTTTTATATCTGAAGAGAGAACTGCAAATTTGTGGATTACATTACAGTTTGAATAAATAAAGAGATTCTCATGAACTAATGTGCGACTCCCTCATTAAATATGTTTTTACTGAAAACCTGCTGAGTTCCAGGAACCATGCAGGTTACTGGGTGTAAAAACATGAAAGTTAAAATAACATAAAACCTAGCCTAAATGTGGTCCTTGCTTCAGACTAACAAACAGAGCAAGAAAACAGACTTGGAACTCAGGTTCAAAAATATAAACAGCTGTTATTACACCAAAAGCAATTAGTCATCATTACGTATTGGTATTTTAAATTTTTTAGAACATGTACTAAAGAGAAACCACAGCTGAAACAGGACATTTGATGACTAAAGCCATAAAACTCAAACATAATTGCTAAGTCCAATACTCCCATGGCGGGAAGAATGCAGGACTCATGCATGTGGCCAAATCCACAGAAAAGAAAGCTGAGTGACACTGTGTGGTATAGGGCCGGCAGTGGCTCCCCGTGAGTCTGAATTCAAGTTCTACCTCTTCAGGGACACTGCCTCTGCTCAGCTGTCTTTCAGCAAAATGGCTATGACGTTTTCCCACTCTGCAAGGAATTGTGAGCCTCAATTTCTCAACTCTGAATCTTTCAGAGTAACAGTACTTCAGAGAGGAAATCACAGAGGTAGATACATGTTAATATCATAATGGAATGAAGCCAGTCCAGTTGAAAGGAACCTCAGGTGACCTGCCTGCT